TCTCAAACACACAATCCACAATCGCCACACTCCGGGATCCCGACCCCGACCGAACGGATACCCCTGCCAAACAGGCAGTCACTTACGCGTCCGCGTCCCACGTCTTCGTCCGGACTTTTGTGCACAAAATTTTAAGGGGTCGACCGGTCCTTCCTTGCCTCCCTGTTTTTAATTTGGGTTCATCGGTGGGAGTAGGGCAAGCGACCGAAGCCTGGGCCGCCGACTGCGGCGGGGCGCCTCCCCAAGCTTCAGTATCTCACCAATATTCCCATCCGAGTCACGGCACCAATTGTTATAGATTTTATTAATTAACAAGAGTCGAAGAAGCCAATCAACAAATTTTATTAATTACAGCAAGCAAAACAAGGAGGCAATGCAGCGCTGGGCGACAGGGGGATCTCCGTCCTGCCAACTGCCGCGCCTACTGGAGTTCCGGTCGGTCCTTTTAAGTCGCTCACGAGCCTATCATTGTGATACTTCCGGAGTACTCTGCGCATGCTTTGAGGCTGTTGCTGGGGCATTTAACTGTCTTGCTTCACTTCTATTTCTCTTGGTTTCTGGAAAGTACCACTTATACAAACATGTTAGTCTTTACAAACGAATCTAACCACATCTTACTTAACGAACACATATATTCTATTACAGTAACCACATCTTATGAACAAACATACTCTATTACAATAACCACATCCTAGTTAATGAACAAACATACTTCATTACAGGGAGTGGGTCAGGGATGGTTCCAGAGGGGCACCAGGGGGGGATTTTTGTGCCCCCCCTCGTGCTGGGGATTTTTGGGGGAGCACCAAAGCCCCCCTGGGGCTTCCTCCCCGGTTTTGGGGACGTCTCAGTGCCAGCTCTTGGTGGCTTCCTGTGGTTTCTCAGCAGTGACAGATCCCCAGAGAAGCTGAGCAGGGACCTCAACGTCCCCCTTCAGACCTGAGCTCTGGTAAGTCATATTTCTATCTCAATTTATTATTTTAGTCTTTACAGGGCACAGAAGTACTAAATTTTAATCCTGTTTGGGTTTTCAACAAGCTGCAGGCTCAGGTCTCTCCCCTTTATAACGACCACAGTGCAGAAATAGCTGCAATTGAGTTTTTTGCACTTGTTTTTCAGCTTCTGGTCTGTTAAAAACCCAAATTTAGCAACTGAGCAGCCCAGGCTAGAGTTAAGGAGTAAATTACCTGGAAAACTCTGGAAAAAGAACTATTGAGGGTGTTCATTTTTTGTTTTTACATCCCAAAGCAGCTGTTAAAAATAATGGAAGGACAACAAATGAAAGGAGATGCTCTCTGAACCCTCAGCAGAGAATTCCTGCACAAACTCCACGTACAAACAATTTTGATGTCCTTCATTAATACTCATTTTCTGGGGGCTTCTCCATTCTTTTCCTGTTTATATTGTGGCATTATTGGTCCTTTTCAGTTTGAGCACCCCCTCCACGGGGAGATTGTGACAGTGATGTTTCAAAATCAGAAAAAAAAAATCAGGAAAAAAACCCCACAAGTGACCAAAGTTCAGAGACACAACCACAGATTTACATGAAAAAATATAATTATTTAATCAACTCCAAATCCAGTGGGAATTTTGATGTTTCATGTATGCTTGTAAATGAAATAGGGTCCAAAAAAAGGAGGTCGGGGGACTTAAAATGAAACCACGTGTTTTTTTTCTTTTTTCTCATGTTCTTTTATCATTTTTTTGTCTCTTACCTCATGTTTTTTGTCTCTTATGTTTTTATCATTTTTTGTCTCTTCTCTCATGTTTTTTTCTCTTTTTGCATGTTTTCTCATTTTTTCATTTTTTCTCATGTTTGTACAGTTTTTTCTCTTTCTTCGTGTTTTCATGCTTTTATATCTCTTTTCTCATGTTTTTCTTGTTTTTTTGTAATTTCTCATGTTTTTAGTATGTTTTTTTTCTTTTTGCATGTTCCTTTCTCATTTTTTGTCCTTACTCATGTTTTTATAATGTTTTTTATGTTTTTTCACGTCTTTTTCACATGTCTTTTCTCATGTTTTTGTCTCTTTCCTCAGGTTTTTATCAATTTTTTTGCCTCTTTTCTTATGGTCTTTTCTCACATTTCATGCATCTGGGGCAGTTCTGACTTCCTGAGATAAACAGCTCTTGGGAGGAAGTGTGAACTGAGCATTTCCGTTGGAAAGCAACACCAGCCTTTGTTTCGGCGCTTTCAGTGCCTCCCTTTGGGGACATTGTGCACATCGTGGATGACTTTAATTCCTCCCTGCCTGCAAGGTTGAGATGCCACAATTTGATTTATTTACCCAGATTTCTCTTCTGTTTGATGGGAGCTGCACTGTTGGGGTGTAGTTCATTGCTCAGGTGACCTGGATGAGAGTTCTGCTCATGCAGTGCCTCTTTTCCCCATCTCACATAAAAAATTCAGTCCTTTAGGCTGCTTTTGGAGCAGGTGAGTGGTGGTTTCCCCCCACGGAGAAGGTTTATGGTGTTGAAAATTCACCCAATGTGGACATTTCCCCTCATCCCCTTCCATCAGCTCCTCTGGAGCTGCAGCCTTGTCACCTTGGGATGATTTTAATGCCACTAAAGGCTCTGTCCACTGGGAAAACTCAAATATTTGTGGTTGAAATGGTTTCTTTTTTCCTTTTTAGGGACACTGCTTCCCATCTAAACCCCCCCAAGCTCTGACCTACAGACCTGAGCATCACTGTGGGGTGAAACTTCAGCTCCCACCCACAAGGGATGAAATAATACTCCAGGAGTGAGGGATGAGTTAAGACTTCACCGCATGTGAAGGGAATAATTCCTGGAGGGAATCATTCCTGCTCTCCAACAGGAACCATGGCAGGGATTTCCTGGGCTGAGGGAGTCTCTAATGGGACACATTTCCCAATTTCCAATGGGACAAAAGCCAGCTCTGGAGGTGCTTTGGGGGCAGATATGCAGCACTCCCTGTTTGCTGTCAGCTACAGTGCAGTGCTGGTGCTGGGGCTGGTGGGCAATGCCCTGTCCCTGTCCCTGCTGTCCTGCCGAGTGAAGCCCCTGTCCCACTCCTACATCCTCCTGCTGCACCTGGCCCTGCTGGACACTCTGTTCCTCGCTCTGCTGCCTCTCCAGATCCACGCCCAGCTGCTTGGGGACACCTGGACCTTTGGGGACACGGCCTGCAGGGTCACCCAAGCTCTGTTCTGCCTCCACGTGTCCCTCAGTGTTGCCTTTTTCGGCTGCCTCGGCCTGGATCTGTGGCTGGCAGTGCTGCACCCCTTCACCTCCATCCAGCTCAGGGCCACCCACTACATGCTGGTGGCCACAGCCCTGTGGGTGGTGGCCCTGGCTGCCACTGTTCCACTCGTGCTGCACAGGAGAGGGGTGAGGAGCTGCTTTGGGAACTTCCCTGGGAGCTGGGCTCACCCCACAGCCCCTCACACCATCCTGGCTTTCATTTTTGGGGTGGCTGTCCCATTTTCCATCATCCTGCTGGGCCTGCCGCTGGTGGCCAGGAGCGTGTGGCAGAGCCGGCGCAGAGCTGCCAGGAGGAAGGCCCTGGGCACCATCTCCATCATGCTGGGCATTTGTGCCCTCTGCTTCCTGCCCCAGCACCTCACCCAGCTGCTGCAGTTCCTGCGGGGGATCCAGGAGGAGCCGCTCCCCAGCCTGATCCCCAAGATCCAGAGGGTGACCGAGGCCCTGGCGAGCTGCAGCTGCTGCCTGAACCCCCTCCTGTACCACTTCCACTCCTCCAGCAGAGCCTGGCGCTGCCCCTTCAGGCTCAGCCTCAGGTCCAAGAGGGTGTTCACCATCTGTGATCACAATTTTGGGGACCCTTCCTGGGGCTGCAAGTCCAGGCAGACGCATGGAAGGAAAATCCACGGGGGATGGAACCAACTGATCCACTCCAGGTACACACAGAGCTGATATTTCTGATTATTTCCTTCAAAAAAAGCCTGGAAAACCCATTTTTTCCCATGTGGTGGCTGTTAAAGCAGATGGAGATTTTGATCAGAAAACGGACAATCCTTGGGGGGGCCGGAGCCTTGGATAGGCCTCCAGAGCACTCCTGGGTTTGTGTTCAGGGATGTTTTGGGCTCAATCTATTGAATTTTGGGGTTGGTAGAACCTGGGGCTGTTTCCTAGGAAGCAGCACATCCCAGGAAGTGGGGGATTTGAAGGAAATCCAGGAAACTGCTGGATCCAGGCAGCCCTGCTGGGCTTTTCCCTGTTTTCCTGCTCCCTCACAGGCTGCTGCCCACATTCCACAGCCAAATAGGGGCTTCTCATCATGCCTTGGCTTCCCAGGGAATATTCCAGGATTTCCAGGCTGTGGATTCAAGCTGGACACTGATGAACGGAGGTTTAGAAGGGAGAAAATATTTGATAAATCCCAGGATTTAGCAGTCAGTGGTAAACAAGCTCCTCTCCCCACACACTCAGCCCAGCTCTTTACACTGTGTGGTCTTAAGTGTCCAAAGTTCTTTTTTCCACTGACATTAGGTGATACAAACACAACTCCCTGACCTTTCCTCCCCCCTTTTCTTGTATTAACAGCCCCCACGTGGTTTCTGAGAACTGCCGAGTTTCCATCCCCTATGAAACGTGAGACTATGGAGAAATTTTTTCATTTGTGGGCATTTCTGAGGCACCAGAAAACCATAGGCCTGGCTTAAAACCTGCTTAGAACCAAGTTTATTCCAAAGGATGTGGGGTTTTGGGTATAACAGAGGCACAGGCTCAGTTCTGCTCCTTCAAACATCACTCTGAGAGCAGCAGATCAACAAAAATCAGGATCTGAATTTCCAAGTTCAGCCTAAAATTCACCCTATGCCCAGGTGCTTGTCCTTGATTGGACACCTCTTACTAATTACTGTTAAAAGCCCAGGTTGGCCTCTGGCCTCTCCCATCCTCTATTTTGCTCTTAGCTCAAAGCAATTTTAAAATCTTGGTGAGAAAATCAGCTCCAACTTTTCTAAACTCTGGAAAACAACAATCCCTGTGTTCCCTGGGAGGGTCTGGGGGAAATCCTGGCACTGTGAGAGCCCCAGAGGAGCATCAGCCCAAAATAATCCTTTACCTTTAGCAGAAATTGCTATTTTTATCCCATTTCTAGGCTATCGGAAATCCTCCCAGCACTGGAGAAGGATTTGTTTTATCAGCCAAGCACAATTATGGATAAAGGTAAAAAAATGGATTGAAGGCTCCTTGCAGCTGGCCCAGAGGGAAAGATGGGGAATTAAAGAACTTTTGCTGCTTGGTTATCAGCACATTTAGGGATTTTCACTTTCTATAGGGTCTGTGATGCTTTTATGTTTTGAATTTTAATTGTTTCAGGCAGTACTGAGGGGTTTTTAAGGGAAATCAGCTGTGGGAGGGGAGAACACTGAGTAACTTTTACTTTAATGTGTAAACAAGTCAAAAATTGCTCCTCGGGTCTGTCTCAAAACAGGTTCTTGATTCCCTGGATATTTTTTTTCCAAGGGGGAAAATCCCAGTGCTGGTGCCTGTCACTGCAGGAATTGGACAAACACTGGAATTCTTTTATTAAAACCAAGCACAAAAAAGCATTGACAGTGTAAACAAAATAAAATCTGACTCTGTGACCCACCCTGGGCTGGGCTCTGCTCTCAGGGGGTGCTCTGAGGCAGCCCTTTCTTCAGGAGGGATGTGAGATAACTGCCAAGCTCTTCATCCTAAAGGGATAAAAAAAATAGGATGAGAGCAAAATCTTCCTGTGATTGTCCTATTTGGGGCAGTAAATTCAATTTTGGTACCTAGAAATGGACTGAGAGAATTCCTGGACCTTGCAAGATCTAATGTGAACTGTGTTTAAAAATTGAAACAATCCACAAATAACAAACTATTGGTGTGAAACTCCTACTTCTCAAAGGACCTGAGGGGTTTCCTTTGAGGAAAAGCCCCATTTTTGCTTGAAGTCAAGGAATAAACTGATTTTATTGCTTTGCCTTCCAAAGGCATTTCCTTGCTGTCAAGAAAGAATTTAATAATCCAGCCACAGAAAGTGAAGATGATGGGATGACTGTCAAATAAAAGAATGTTAGGATCAGAAAGAGTTGTCTACTTGCTTTAAATTTTCCAAGTAAGAAATACAACCTGAAATACTCAGCAGAGCTCAAAACACAGAGAGAACTGAACTGGAAGTGGAATTACCCCAGAAGTTCTCTGCTTCAGTGGGCCCAGAGAGCTCCCGTTAAACCATTTCTGCTCAACCCCAGATGGTCACAAAACAGCAGGGACTCCCCTCGTTTTCCAAACTCCTTCAAAGCCAGAGGAGGAAGGATTCCCCAGTGCAGAAATGGTTTGGGATGGAAGGAATTCAGGTCAGAAATGAGGAATTCCCACCTGGTAAGTCCAGGACACGAGCAGGACTTTGGTTCCTTGATCCTCCGAGTGCGCCGTGGCCTGGATCAGAATGGACTCCACAGTGATGGAGCCATCAGGGAGATGCTGCACTGAGTAATCCTTCAGGATCCTGCAGAGAGAGGAGACAGGGCATTTCTTTGGAATGCTGGGTCACCCCTGGGTCTTCATCCCAAATCCCAGCCTGTTCCTCTCTTGGCTGTGTCTGAGCCAAAGGAAGGGAAAAGGGGCTGATGCACTTATGAAACACTGATGCATTCTGGTGTTTCCATTAATCATGGAGGATTTCCTGAAGAAATTATTCCTGCAGGCTCTACAGCTCCAACCTGAGCCCTGCTCTGAGCAAAGAACTCAGAATGCGGCAAATGCACAGAGGGAAAAACAACTTTTAAGGTTCTGCTGTTGCCAGCTCAAAGGATCGGCTGCCTGTGCTACAGCTGAGCTGCCTGGATTGGGAACAATCAACTCCATCCTGGGGGATAAAAAATCAACTCCATCAATCCTGAGGGATTAAAAACCCTTGCCAGGGAAGCAGAGCTCACCCCTTGAGGTGGTTGTAGACCCTGAGCACGGTCTCATGCTCCTTGCGTGGGTCCTGGATGTGGACACGACAGGTGAAGCGCAGCTGATGCTCTGCCAGCCCCAGCTCCTTCAAGGCCTGCTCAGGGGAAACCAGCCGGAAACTCTATGGGGAAAAAGGGATAAATCCATGGAGAAGCAGTCCTCTGAGCTTTGTGGAGTTGTGTTGCTGCCCTGTGGTCAGGGGAAGCAGGGAAGACTGTTCCCTTTCCATGCTGAAACATTGCCGTGTGTTTGTCACTGCTGAGGGCGGGCAGCAAAGGGAGAGCGAGGCTGGGACAAAACATCCAGCTAAATAATAATAAATAAATATTTAACATGATCAAGTTGGTCTCTGGAAGACGGTTTAACCTCTAGCAGGGGAGTGATGTTTGAAAATAAAGATGAGGTTGAAGATGAGGCATCTTCTTTGTGAGGAAACACAATTGCTCATCGTGATTTGGGTTCCCTGTGCACCTAAAAACTTGACACCACCTTCAGAGGATACCAAAAAAACACCCTCAGAGGAAACAAAACAGCCTCAGAGGGCACAAAACACAGAGGACATGAAAAACACCCTCAGAGGGCACAAAACACCCTCAGAGGGCTCAAAACACCCTCAGAGGACACAAAACACCAAGAGGCCACGAAACACTCTGAAAGGGCACAAAAAAACACCCTGAGAGGACAGAAAACACCCTGAGAGGTCACAAAACACCCCAAGAGGATACAAGTCAAGCACAAGGACTCTTTCACTCACATTGTCCTTCATGAGTAACGTGCCATGCATCAGCTTTGGCTTCTTGGCATCTGGTAAAGGACCTAAAGCAAAGCCAGGAGGAGAAAAACACATGAGGTGCTGGTTTTTCACCCAAAACTGCTCTAGGACTGAGGCTGGGGCTCTGAGGCCCTGCTGAGGTTCAGACATTGGAATTTTACACCTTTCTTCTCTTTTCTGTTCAATGCATCAATGGTGTTTAACCATTATCAGAAATACTGACACCTAAGCAATAATATTTAGAGCAACTCCCTCTTTTCCCAGAGCACTTCCTGATGGAAGAATTAGATTATTTTTCTAAAATTCAGTTTATAAAAGTAATTCCAGCTTTCCCAAACCAAGCTGCTACAAGCACTCAAGGGTAGCAAACCAGGCAGGGTGTGCACATTGATTTTAAATGTTATTAAATATAAATGTACAGCTTTCTACCAACAGCAGCAGGGAGGAAAACTGGGGGTGGGAAGTATCACCTATGGCTGTTTCCCTTTTGAGGAGGCCCAGGGAGATGTCCACAGGGATGCAGGGGTTGGTGAGGATGGTGGTGGTCTCTCCATTGGCTGGCATAAAGCAGCTGACATCTGCAAAGGAAACAGCAGCAACAAAACTTCAGTTCCAAGGGGGTCACTGCAGTTAACTGGGCTTAATTAATGCTGATTAAGATGTTACAGGCATCTGTTCTTTGAGGGGAGGTGTAAATGCCACACCTAACCACACTGAGGGAAGAAAAATGTGATTTTCAAGCTCTGATGCCATTCCCTCCCCCCCATGGATACCTACGGAATTCCTGCTCGATTTTCTGCTTCAGGAACTCCATTTTCTTGGCTTCCCCGTGCACCAGGAGCACATTCCTGGGCTCAGCCTGGCGGATCAGCTGCATGATGCCCTTGGCATCGGCATGGGCACTGAAGGACATGTACTCCACCTGCATCTTCACTTCCAGCTGGGAGGAGCAGAGCACAGGATTTAGAAGTTGGAAATTCCTTTGGAACACACCCAGAACCCTCTCAATTTACTTAAGAGGACGAAGGAGAAAACCTAAATTCTCTTAACAAAAAGCTGTCATACCTTAAAGGCTCAAACTGCCCCATTTCAGACAATATTTGTCACATGAACAAAGCAAATATTGAAGGTCAGCTGGTGTTTTATTACCCAAATCTGCTTAAAAATTTATCATTTATCAATTTTACCTATTTGCCTCATTAGGACTCATTATTAAACAGCGTAAAGTGCCCCTGAAAGTTTTATGGTAGAAGCAAAGGGCTCCTCAAAGTTTTTTGGTAGAAATTAATGCAAAAAGGGAAAAAAACCCAAATACAACTTTGCTAAAGTGAAAGGGAAAAAAGCCAAAACAAGTGCAACTCCAAATCCAAAGATTATTTTGAGGTATTTTCAGTGCTGGAAATTGAAAACCCAACTTACCATTTGTCTTCCTTCCATCTCCAGCTTCCTTTGCCCACTGAGGATCTTGTGGCCCACAGTTCCCTGGACGCAGTAGCCAGGCATGATCACCTGGGAAAAAAGAACAGGAAAATCAACAATTCCATGGATTTGATCATCGTAATAGTCACAAATTTAGAGCCTGAATGTCCTGGTTCAGAGAGGACTTGTGTCCTTTAATTCCAGCTCCTCAGGAAAAGCTTTGCTACAATCTCAGTACTTTTAACTCACATCAACATAAAACATCACCCCAAAAAAACCAATTTCTTACCATATTCTTCTCATTCCCTGCCCATTTCCTGAAGATTTGGAGGGACTGTCCTGCATGGAGCATTCCAGGGGTTGCAAACACCACCTGGAAGTCAAAGATGTGCCATAAATCACTATAGAAAACCATTTTTTCCATGATTTATAGCAATATCTTAGAACTGTGCAGAGTATCCATCAATACCCATCACCAACACTGCACAAATATGGATTTTTGCTGTTTGATTTTCTTCCCACTCTGTCTAAAATTCCCAGGGTCTGACCCACTGTTTTAGAAAATAAAAACAATATTCCCTGTTTTAGGAAATATTTGTGAGCATTCCCAGTGTCTGATGGAAAACTCAGAGTGGTTTTTTAATGGTACCAAACAAACCAGAATTAAAGCAGCAATAAAAGATTGTGTGGAAAAGAAAACCCTGGTTTGAATTTTCATTTTCTCTGGGTGTTTCACCTTTAATGAAATAAAACCAGAAAGAGATGTAATATTTACAGAGATGGCCTGGCCACAGAGGTTTTTATGTGGGATTGATGGGATGGAGGATGCTTAGGACGCTTTTCCCACCAGGATTTGGGATCACACTGGAATAAAAGAGCTGCCAGACCCCCAGTCCCTCACCAGCACCCACCTACCATAGGCCCTGGGTTGTCTGCAAAGGCTCTGTCAAAGGCTTTGATGTGTTTGAACTCAAACATGTTCCTCTGCACGAAAGTTTTCCGGATTTTCTGGTTAGTCCAGGTGATGAAGAGTTTGTAATAATGATTCGCCTTCTCTGTCAGGCCCGTGGAAAAGTAAATTGGAGCTTTCAAGTTCATCCTTTCCCTGCAAAAGAAGTGACCTATGAGGGGTAAAGTAAATCCTGGCTATCCAGAAAGCTGTGGAATGTCCCAAGGTTGTTTTTTTTGGGGTGTATTTCCCTATTTTCATGAGCCCTAAATCAGTATTTTAACAATGCTACACCCCCATGCAGGTTTTAGTGCCCTTCTTCTCACTACAGACAAATTCCTGCCACTTTCAACATTCATCAGACACAGAAGATCCCAAAAAGCAGGTGGGACATGCCCAGGCTGCACTCACCAGAAAGTTTCCAATAAAATACAAAGCTCCTGGGCACGTCCAAGGGCGAAAACTGGGATGAGAACCTGGAATAGAGGTGGAATTCAGAGTGTGAGAAAGC